ATCTCTGTTTTTTCTGCTACTGTAATGATCACAAAGCAAGATTAAGGATATTTTTTTTTCTGTCATAAATTGATGTTAATGACAGGTTGCCTTTAGAGAGATGACACTAACACTTTTGGTGGAAATGGATAACAATTTCCATTTTCACCAAAACTTTTGAATAAGAAAAATCTAGAGGGGTATCTATTGACATTCAAGACTGGATGGAGTGAATTCATTGCCTTAACTCACATTTTAAAACAACTAAAAATAAATCGTTTCGCCCTGAAGAATAATGCTTTCTGCTATCACAAAATTCAAGAAATCAAAGAGAAAATTTCCTGTCATGAGAGAGCTTTTTCCTTCCCATTTAGGTTTCAAGATACAATTTAAAAGGGAAATAATAGCGGGGTGGGCTAGAAAGTATGGAAGATACTAACTCTAAGGAAAGAGGTTTTTTGGGAGGTGATCTACAATTTAGTCTGGTGTCCCTTGAGCTGACACTAAGAATCAAAGATCATAATTATAGAATTCTAGAACCACTGAACTGACAAGGCATCTTCAAGCTTCCTTATCTGGTGAAATTTGCAAATGAAGGAACAAACTGAGAGAGGTGAAAATATTCCTCCAAAGAAAAGCCAAAAGAAGGATCCAAGTTCACTAATTTCAAGTTGTTTCCATTTTGCATGGGGTTATCCTTGGAGGTTCCAGTCCCACACCTAATAAGGAGGACAGTGAGAGTCCCAGGAGAGACAATGTTGTATTGTTAGACAGATGGCTATCCCACACACAGGTATTCTTTTAAAGGGATTCTTTTAGGATAGGAATACAATGACTCTTTTAGGCTAGGAGGAGTGAAAGGAATTAATTATAGGAATTATCCTATTGCTAAGGATAGTTCAGCACTATCATCACCATGTAACTTCATATACTAAATGCTGATGTGAATCTTATTCTCAGGGAATCTGCATTGATCAAAACGTTTGGAAAACTTTTTCCAAAAAAGAAAGACTTAAGAACATTTTTTAAGATTTTTAAAGACGGTATATTTATGGATAAGAGAAGCATTTGAGATAAAAATTCTTACTAGATACTTTAGGGCTGGTAGACCAGATGTGGCCATTGGTTAAACATGCATTTTTAATTTAGTAGCATCTTTTCCTCTCCTATCTGATGTATCCATTCAAAAAATATGTTCTGAACAACTCGTATGTGTGTTTTAGGACCACAGGCATATGCAGGAGTAAAAGACACAGAGAGAATTAAGTATCCTTTGTGCATACAAAGTAGAGAGAAGAGGGGAAGAAGGACTAAGAAAAAGAAGACGGGCACCAAGGACGAGCTGCACTTGAGAGAGTTAAGTGTGATCTTGACAGTAGGGTGGGATGGGCAGGCAGTGCAGGAACGACAGGACATCTGTGTAGATGGCATACATGAGTGAACATAGGGGGAGAAAGTACGTAACCAGGCAAAGGTGAGCCGACCACACTGAATGGCATCCGGAGTTTACTTTGATGATGGGGGTATGAGGTGGCAGAGGTGGAAAGCCCTGAAATTCGGACTCAGGGTTTGAGTTTGCTTAGGCAGGAAACAAGAGCCACTGATGACTTCTGAGCAAGAAATGATAAAATTCAGGGGATGCATGCAGGAGAGAGGAGGAACTACAGACAGCAGCAGTGACTGGGAGGCTATTACAACGGTCTAGTTAATGAACTATTTCTAGGACTACGATGGTGGCAGTGGGAATGGAAAGGAAAAATATGTGATAGCTAAGTGATCTTTAAGCATGTCTGATTGACAGAGAAGTGGAATAATCTCCCTCCGTTACTTAGAGCCACTCTAAACCCAGTAAGTATTGCTCCTTGTCATATGAGAGCACAAAGTGCTTAAGGAGGTATAATTTAACTCTCACAGTGGCTAAAGAAGGGGGTCTTCAGGCCTTGCGTAACACTATATCCATCTCAAAAGCATACCTTTCCATCAAAAGGGAGAAAAAGTGACAACTGTGTCCTAACCTATCCTCACCAGGAACTACCTACTGAGAAAACTGCTCACACAAGAAGGGGGAAAAAAAAGGTCAAATTAGAAACTTATCACTTATAAAATTTCATACTGTATTCATGTGGAAATAATTTATGCCTTGCCAAGCCCTTTCCTACTTATTTTCTCATTTTCCATAAAGCAGTCCTTGAGGTACAGAGGGTGAGAATTACTGGCCCTGTTTCATAGAAGAGAGATTCGATGTGGGCACACGAGTTGCTGGGACTAGCGTTTCGGCTCCCTTTACAGAACTCTTAACACTACACCTGGCAATCCTATTGCCACGTGGTCAGTCAGTTAAAGGCAAGTGGTCTGAACTTTACAGGACTTAAAATAGATGCTGGTTGGATAAGATACGGGTGCTGTGAACACCCAGCCAGGAGAGTAGAAAAAGGCTGCCCAGAAAATGTCTTCTACCAAATGAAACATAATCCAGAGCCTGGCTGGGAATTCCATTGCAGCTTTGGGTTTAGGAACTGTTTATTTTTATTTCTGGGCATAAACCTTTCATTCCTGTCCTTCCTTGTCTCTTCTTGCCTCTCCTTCTCTCTCTCTCTCTCTCTCTCTCTCTTTCTCTCTCTCTCTCTCTCTCTGTTCTCTTGGCAGCCATGGTCCTACTCTATACAGGCACATGTCTGAGCATCTAATACCACTGGCTAAAAATATGTCTCACCATAACTAGCTGAGCCTTCTGCAGGTGGTACAATTTAAAGTTGATATCAAAGAACATATCATGATCAGCCTTTGATTCATTTACCCTGCAAATTAAGGACCCAGAAACAAAATAACCACGGTTCACAAGGAAAAAAAATTAATGCAAAATGAGAGACTCTTTCAAGTGGCATTTTCAAGCCCAGTTTTTGTGGTGGGCTTATGTAATCAGAAATAATCGTCTGCACATGTTTGGTTACACTATTTCAGAAATTATTCCCAGCCCACCAGCTGACGTCATGGGGGTCGTGTTGACCCCTCTAGAGTCTGTCTGCTGCTTTCTTCTGTGCTACTCAGTTCAGAAAGAAAAATGCCAAATAGCAGAAGTGTCAACCCCATTTCCTGCCCAGTCACGTGGACTTTCTTCAGTTCCCTTTCTGAGTGTGCCCACATTCTTGTCCCCACTCCACTGCACCGTCCTCACATTCCTCTCTTCTACTTATGCACAGAACAAAGCTTTCTCTGGAAGAACTGATCTTTTATCTCAAAAAGATTTAGGAAATACATAAATGCATGTGAGCTTAAGCCTGCACACACAGACAGACTAGAGCAACTTTTTTCATTTGGAATTCATTTTGAGAATATCCTTTCCCATGATGGTTCCCTGTGTTTTTCCAAGTAGGCTTCCCAGCAAGTCAGCCATGAATACAGTAATAACAGTTTGGTGTTGTTAGCAAAGCACACGACGGGAGGAATCCCTCTGCTCTTGGACATTCTTCCTTGAAAATGACATGATTGCCCAGAATATGTTTAACAGTGCTGACTTGGACCTCCCAGCTGCCTTCCCAGAGAGGGACAAATATTGCATAAACTCAGAGCGGATTCTGCCCGGAGAAGGTAGAAAATAAAGAACTGCTGATGTAAGTGGCCTTCACTGTCACCAAGACAATCACAGTCTAGTGTTTGACTCCCTTCCACAACATTCCTACCAAGTAGCTAGGCAAACAATGTTAGAATTTTCCAACGATGGGGGAATTCTTGACTTCTAAGGGCAGCCAATCTTTCCTTTTGGAGAATTCTGACCGGGACAAAAGTCCATAAATGCTCAAGTGAAATCTCTTTCTCTAAATCCACCACTCAGTGGTCCTGTCCTATGCTTTTTATATACAACATTTATGATGAATCGAATCTCTCCCACAGGTGATAGCACATCTAAAATTAGCATGCACCACCCAAACCTTATCTTTTATGGGGTAGGAATTCCTAATTCTTTCAACCATTCGTTATCTGATGGAATGGGTGGCATTCTCTGATTTTCTCCCCAGACAGCAAGAATCATGTACGACTTGACCAATGCAGAGTTGAAGGGGCCATCACCTCCTTTGCTGCAGATGTTATACCTCAGTTAGTACAGTCTAAGACTACATTAATAAATCACTCCTAGCTTTCCTTCCTTCCATCTCTGATTGACTTTAATCATAACAACAGAAACAAATAATAAAAAATGATCACCACCAACCAACCACAGATTTCTTCACTAGTTCTGAGCCAATAGTTCCACTGGAGCCTCTTGTGACCTCTAAAAGCCCAGGAATCACCCCTGATCTAAAAGACAGCCTCCTTTTCCAGGCTGCCCTCTTGTCCCAGCTTGCTGTCACCGCTGCTGAGATAGCGGACGATTGATCTGAGAAATCAAGTTGGATTGCTGTCCCAAATCTACACTCGGTTCTCCTTGTGTCTGTCTGATCGATTTCACTCTGTGCGACATAGCTTGTCGCTATGAATTTTCATGCTAGTCAGGAGCCGCCAGCACACCCAAGAACAAGTAGAAGATGGTCTGCACCCCTCCCCGTCCCTTGAACAAACCCAGCCTCTGCGTTAAATTTTTTTTTTTTTAATCGTCCATAGACAGATTGGAAAAAGGTTATTTTTTAAGACCACAGACCTGGATGCAATGGGTTTTGACCACTAGGTTTTCCATCCTAGGTTCCCAGGCCCCAGCTTGTGGTGACATTTCCTACCACCGTTGTACTAGGTGTCACCTGTTTAGCAGCTCCTCTAGCTGAACGCGTGTGGCCGCAGGTGCCATGCAAACACTGATTGCGTCTGACAGCCCTAGACGCCAGCTGCCTGCATGAAGCCTGCCCAATCACCACTTTTTTTGTGGGTAGGATGCTGCCGATGGCATGACCGATAACAGAAACAAGAAACTAGGTGACCGTAAAGCTAAGACAAGTCCTACTAAGTGGCATTCTGGGCCCTATGGCCTTGAAATAATTGGTAGTGATAGAATAAAAACAAAGGGTGGGGGGGGAGCCTTGTTTTCTTACACTGATGCCCTGCGGACTGTACATCTGACTGGCTGCGAGTCCGTCATTGTATCCTCCTGTCTGGCTGATAACATGGCGAAGGGTATCCACCTAAACGGATGAACGACAACAGAGAGGAAGTTAGTCAGAGAGGCGCAGGGCAGGGGAGGCAGCTCGTCACCATGCAGGCTCCCCTCTGGCATGCCATAGCAACACAGTCATTTTGGAGACAGTCTTCCTAGGAAAGAGTCCAGGTAGAGGAGGCCGGACCTCCTCTCCATGCCAGGTCCGTTACCAGTTCTCAGTTCAGTAGGCAAGGCCGTAAATGACAAAAGGAAACGGGGGCTCCCAGCACTGAAGCTAACCCAGCAACCAACGCTGCGTGAGATGGTGGGGGCGGGATGACCAAGGGGAGAGTGAAGGAACTGTCCCTTCTCCCTCTTTGTCTTCCCCAATCATCCTGTATGGGCTTCTCCTTTGCTAGGTGTCTCACAAAAGCCAGGGTTCTGTTTGGAGGAGATTTGAGCAGCCATCTCACAGAGACAGCAGTGGGTGACTAAGACCTGTTTGTTTGTTTGTTTTTTTGTTTTGTTTTTTTGAGGGCTTAAGCGATGGCCAGTTGCTTAGTCACTTGACCAAAGCCTGACCCTCTCACCTCAAGCTTGTTTCCAGGCAAGGCTGCCCGAGCAAGGGGCCGAATCACGGACCGGTTGGTCTAGTCCAGGCACGTACGTACGGCTTCCTGTTCCACGTGCAGCGTGGGAAACGGGACTGACGTGGCCCAGAACTTCCCTAGTATTCTGACCCAGAGCATAATACTTTAACCTCTCACATCACGCTTCATGCTGACATGGTAGCAAGGCTTCCTGAGCTATCGTGAGGCAATGTGCTCCCTGTGGAGCCCTGAGCTTTGACATGGCATGACTCGATTTTTGCTTCCCAGAGTAGACTCCTACTCATCACCCAAAACCCAAGTCCCTTGACCTGAAGAATGACTAGGAAGACGAGTTTAGTCACCATGGCTAGGTGTTTTCAAAGCTTAAAACGAAAACATGAGATACGAATAATGTATTTGCCTGCTCACTGATTACCTCCTTATTTGGCAAATGTTGAGGGTGGGAAATCAACAAATGAGAGGGAGACCTGGAAATTGAGATGGTGGCCTGATGTCCTCTCTCTCCCTTTGGCGAGTGAAGAACATGCTGGCTCTCCTCACCTGATATGCCTCGACCTGTGCTTACTGCTCCTCTCTTGCTCCTACCGTGACTCAAGAGCCAGAGCCAAACACGCTCACAACATGTGGATGAGATTCCCCATGACAATGGTTGTCTTTGTTTCGGTTTGGTGTGGTTGTCATAAGGTCTTGGTTCTGATCTCTCTCTCTCTCTCTCTCTCTCTCAATCTCTCTCTCTTTCTCTCTGGACAAAAGCAGGAAGCGCCAATACGACTGAGGGCTCTTGGACTCTAGTGCATTCACCTGGCAGCATATTGGCTGGGTCCCTACCTGTGATTGCACGTTGGCTCCAACCTGGGCCCCTTGGTAAGAATCCCCATTGAGTGACTGCACGCTCATGAACAAATCTCCAGAGTTTGACATGTTAAAAGAACTGGAAGAACCTGGAAAGGAAAGAGTGAGGCACCTGAATCACAGAAAGGAAAAGGCTCAACCCCCGCAACTAACAGCCAAGAGGAAGAATGACATGCAAAGCAACCCCTCGAATAAAAACTAAAATAAAAATAACATCAACAGAGTCTGGTTAGTAGCATGAAGAACAGAGCAAGCAATAAAGGGTGCATATTGTTTATGTTACATAAAGCCACGCCTTACTACAAGTTGCCAGTGGGACTTAGCAACTTCAAGCTGAGAAAGAGAACATGTATTCTTCTCAACTTTTCTATTCGGATTGCCGTCTCCAGACCTAGGATCTCTCTTCCATGCCTGAGTTGGCCAGGGGACCACAAGATAGAGAATATGTGCTGGTCAGTTATACTTCTGCCCCATGATGGAGCACATAAGCTATTTAACTGGATTCTAAATACGCTATTGCTAAACCCATCTACTCTCAGGTGGGAAGCAGCACCTAGGAGGGAGTGCATGAAGGCAATGTCACACACAAGGGCTGGCCCTTCGTATGGGTCTATTGACATTCTTAATTTCTAGAAAGAAGGTGAAGTTCCTTTCTGGGTGGCAAACAAGCCCAGGGAACCTTGAGGACTGTAAGAATATGTGGGGGTGATCTACCCTTCCCTGCCACCTGCCAGGATTAACGAGGATGAAACAAATAATGGGCCAGGAATTCTCAAACATGCATGAAATATGAAATGCTGCTGACAACAATAATATGAATAATAATAATAATAATAATAAAAGAGAGCCTCAAGAATGGCAGTTAAACATCTGCTTTCACTTCCCAGAGATGGAGGCAGCATCCAGAGAGCTAGCCTTTAGGTGCATCCTGGCACCACTGTGCTAAACCTAGTCCAACCTCAACCTCAACATAAGGGATTGCAAAAGCTTCATATTATTCTGAAGTTTCATCGTGCAGCTCAGCGCATTAGGAAAGAAAGCTCAACGTGCAAGGTTTGGTTAAAACATGACATTAGCCTGGAAAAGGAGAGACCTTAGGGACCCAGGTCAGTTGCACTGTCTTATTTCCAACCCTGCGTTGCTCAAAATGTGCTCTTGCCCTCATATTCTGAGACAGCCATCCTCAGGGTGGAATCGCCCAACAATGATTCATGCCTCAGCTCTGACACTTTCTTTCTTTTCTCCCAAGGCGGGGATTTGAGTTCTCCTAGAAAGCTTTCCTGCCCCACATGAAGAACTGCAACTAAGCAGAAAACGAGGCTTTTCTTTCTTTCTTTTTTTTTTTTTCCATAGAAGGACCACTTATCAAGTGATGAATTCTAAACTCTGACACTGTGCTCTACGCTTTAACTATCCACACTATCTTCATACTTCAAAGGCAAGGGCCATTTAGAGGAACCAGGTGATTTATGAACTTGGGGACAACCCCAAGTTTTAAAAAAAATCTCTATTTTTCTTCGTTCTCTGGGATGTACATCCACATGCAAAGAAACTAGCTAACTCTTTTGCTCCACACACTGATCCTACACCTAACTCCCTTCTCCTTCCTTCTTTCCCAGGAAAAAAGAAACACTTTCTTTGGGGGATAGGGGGTGACTCAGGCATCAAACCAAAGGACTATGCCATCTCCATAGCTCTGTAACCTATCCTGTTTCACCTGGCCCATACTTCTCTGTTTAGCTCATCTCAAAGGAATCAGAAAAGTTTGGTCGTGGCAAAACAGGCATGAGATCTGAGTAGGTGTGGTTTGTACCCAGTTAGTAGGATGAAGACTTGGCTTGTAACTCCCTTCCATTACTGTGGGACATGTCTTTGAATCTGTCCTCCTTAACGTGTGGGTGAAGCAGTGTGTAGCACAGACCACATTCTCATGTGCAGATATATAATGCCTAGGTCTCTGCATGTTAGTTATATTCCTCTCAAATCTTCTTTGTAATCACAGAGATGTAATCTAAACAATAAAAGCCATTTTGGAATGAGTGTCACAATAATGCTCCCATTTAGATGTCATCAGAACCAAGCAGAGTCAGCTCCAAGAACCCAAATTATAATCGTCTATATGTCATCAGACCCCCCCCCCTCCCTTTAAAAGAGTCCTCAGTTTGAAGCCCAGTTATTTTATTTCTCTCCCAAATATCATGTAGGAAACATGCATGCTATATGCTTGGCTGATGGTTTATTGGAAATTAGTACACAAACTTAGCAGTGGGAGAAACCCCAAAGGGCCATGCCGATGCCCAGCAACATGGCATCCGTGGAACCATGAAGGTATGGAATGTGCCATTTACAAGATGTACACTGCAATTGACACAGATGATTTAAAAAATATATGTGCATAGATAAATTGTAAATATGTCTGGCTGCCTAATGTGCACAGAGATAAATATGCGCATATAAATGTACTTCATGTACAAATGCATTTGTATCAGAGCAGTAATTGCAAAAATAGTCCCTCGTGCTCTTGGCTGTGCTGGTTCAGCATTTTGTCGTCTCTGTACACCCATGTACAACACCACATAACTTCCGACTCTGTGATTAGTATCCAGAGGCAATGCCTGTGCTAAAAGAAGAGACCGGGTGCCACTAATACCACAGGAAAACCTAAATGATGAGGAGAGGACATGTTCTTCACCCAGCATTGGAAGTTGGAAAGAAATTATCACGGAATGGACAACCTCCTAGGAATCCAGAGGCCAATAGTGCATGGGCTGTCTTGGAAGTGCTGTGGAATTCTCAAAGAGCTAGGACAGAATTACTTGGCTTGCTGAAGAAGGTCATTTAGGAACCTTATTTGCAGGTTGTTGTGAAGTAATCAGCAGTTACTAGAAGCACGTTTTAAAATGTGCTTGTCATTAAAAGATTCTGAATTTGGCTTGGGAAGGGAGGCAAGTGGCTCATTTAAACTGCCACCCAGACATCTGGGGTATATATGGGGCTAAATCTGCATTCAACCAGACAGAGAAGGAATAATGGATCACCTATGGCTCTAATGCATTTGCCTGGGCAAGCATCATGATGTGAAAATGTCTTAACATCCATTTTTGTAAGATAATTTCCTAAAAATTGCATTTTTACTTTAAAGAATCTTTGGGAGACTTAAATTTGTTCAGAACAACAACAACAACAACAAAAACCAATTAACTTTATAATCCACAAGATAGAATAATGATAAAACCTATATCTGGGGCAGGGTTTCTCAACCTTGGCACTGTTGACATTTTGGGCCAAATGCTTCTTCATGGTGGGGGATGTCTTATGCATATTAGACTGGTTAGCCACATCCCTGGCCTCTATCTAAGAGATGCTACTAGCACCCTCCCTCCAAAATTGTGACAACCAAAAATGTATCCAGACATTACTGAATGTCCCCTGGGGTACAAATTCACCCCTAGTAAAGAACCAACGGGCTGGAACAAGAATGGATTTAATTTTTCCTCTTAAGGAGCTCAAAGTGTTTAAAGGTATTAGCTTAGTATTTCTTATAGCATTTTTTTATGAAGTACTGCCCCAATTTCTATAGTTTAGAAATCAAGGCTTCAGATAGATTATGTGGCCAGTCTGATTAGATTGGACTCTCATGCCATTTGGGGATAGAATCTCTTTACTAGATGTAAGTTTAATGATGCCTCTTGCTTGCTTCTCCATTTCCCCTTCCAAATTCAAAAATGCATTGTTACTTTCTACTTAGTAAAAGAGTAAAGGATTGTCTGGTTCCATGTAAAAACCCTACAATGGATGTGCTTGTCAAGGTTCTAGAGTTTCAATTCCAGGAAGAATTGTGTTCATTTGCCACTTAAACATAAAGATGAGAAATACAGAAAGAAAGAACATGAGGAAAAACAGCAATGGGATGATTTTTTTTTTTACTTGGTTTTAAGAAACAAAATTATAAAGGTTCCTGGGGACTTACTAAAGGGTCAATCGACTTCTCAGGATGCATTACGTCCTAACTGTGTGTACTATATAGAAACTTCTCATAGGAAAGGAGGATTTGGAGTTTTAATATGATAACCTTCCACCAATACTGAAATACACCAAACCTCCTATTAGGGGTGTCACAGATTATGTACAAGTGTTTTCCCTTGACTAAAATAGTGCCAGAGGAAGGATTTTTTTTTTTTTGGCTGAGTTTTCGGTTCTCTTTTGACACACACACACACACACAACTAAGCAAAAGAATTCAGATCTGGGGGTTCTGAGCCTTAATAAGCCTGTGACTGCTTAGCTAATCACAGAACCTGATATATCATCAATGCCGGTGCTAAGCTATTGCAGCAAACATCTGCAACGCACAAGCCAACTTCTTTCTTCTTGGATGTCAAAGTATTCTCCAGAAGATAATAGCTCAAGCTTCCAAGAAGAGTCTTATTTTTCTGAGGTCTTAATTCTTGCTTTTATAACCTCATCAAAAATAGGAAATTGAGAATGTATCATTTTAGGTGACTTCAGAATAATTATGGACCCAGGGTTTAAACTATTGCTTCAGGGGTCCCCATTTTTGCTTTTTTTTTTTTTCCAAAACTTAATTTTCTCTCCTGCCTTTAATTTTTTCTCTTTACTCCATTTGTTTTGCCCAAATCTGCTGGTATAAACTATGAAGAATGTTAAATGTCTCTAAATGGTTGCTAATGCCCCCTTGCAGGTCCTAGTCCTAAGGGTTATTTTTATAAATGATGCTTTAGGAAATAGGAGTCAAGGCACATATCAACAAATAGGAATATTTAGAAGTGGCCTAAATAAAGGTACTGAAATGCTGCCGTAGATACAGAGCCTCTAGAGCAGGCGTTCTCAAACATGCGGGCCACTTAGCACATTTATCCAGCCCTCCAGGTGTTTTTGCCACCACTGCCTGTCCTGCTTAGCAGCCGACTTGTCTCGGGCCCACAGTGCGCACTTTCCAATGGTCTGAGGGACAGTGAACTGGCCCCCGTTTAAAAAGTTTGAAGACCCCCGCTCTAGAAGGAAGATTTACTTGCAAAGTATCTTCCTTGCAATCGAAATGAGTACATGTATTTACTAAAACTTGGGGTAAAACTTCTTCTCCAATATTGAGGATATAAATATTTCTGAGGTTCCATCAAACTCTGCCAAAAAGAGTTTTCACTTATTAATTTCTTATTTAAAACTTCCTATTTCAATTGTCATTCATCCTTTGAAATTATTAAAGAGCCAGCAAACAACATAATAAACAGCCTGTGTGAAACTTACTAACATTTCAAAGTTTTTACTTTATCTGTGCGATGATTTAGGTTGGTTAAGAGCAGAAGAAAATACAGAAAAGCTCATTTATGGCTTTTCCTGTTAGAACATTTATCTTTTAAAATTCCATGCTATTGCACACAAAGAATAGTCTTTTCTTTCATCTGTACTTTAGAAAAAGCACTACAAAGGGGTTCCTCTGCATATTATTTCCAACAACTTAGGCACAACTGGAAGGCTTAGCTCAAATTTTCCATAATAATTTACTTTGTGCTCAGAATAGTCACATGAAGTTTAAGCCACCAGAAAAATTCCTTAGAAAACTGTAATCACAGACTGACATTCCATAAGACATTCCATAATTCTTAAACACAGAGTAGGGGGTTAAAATGCTTACTTTTCTCTTTTTAAGGGCTTTAGGAAAGAATAAATAGTTACGCATTTAGTAATGAGGGGAGTCCACAGGGCCCTTCTAAGGACTAGTCATAAATCATGCTAAGCCATCTGCGATGCAGATATATCAGGGACAGGAAAAAGTCATTTTGATATCTGTTTTGCATTATGATAACCTTTGCAGGAGTGTTGAGTGCATTTTTGCTAATGTTGACAGAATTGTACTCCTTCCAAAGAGACAAGTGAAAATGTCTGCCTAGCAGTGCAATTCAACTTGCGTTGTTGGGTCTGAAATGCTTAATAATTGACCAGATGGGGAAGAAGGAAACTCTCTGGTTATTGAACCTGTTAGCCTTGAACCTTTGTCAGTCACACCATGATAGGGAAAGAAGAAAACAACAACAACAAAAAACCCTCAAAAAGCAAATGTGCTCCTGATTCAACCTGCACTGCTGGGAAAAATAAGACTGGACTGAATTCTCCGTTGTCTTACTATACCCACGCTTAAAAAGCCCAGGCCACTCTCCATGCATTTAAATCAAAGAAGGCCATGATGGTACAGCCCAGTGACTTGCAAAAATCTTAAAATAACAAATCAGTGCATCTAGAAGCTCCTAGAAGACGTTAATGTATGGAGCCTTAGATGTCTCCAATAACAAGCCACCATAAGACAGAAAATTTATTTTAGTGGACAAATTTTGGGGTCTAAGATACCACATCCTCTAAAAAATGGTAGAAATTAGGTTTGTAATCATATGATAATCAAACATATTTAAATTTGTAACCCTTTAAAGTTAGAATCATCAATTTTCTTAGATGTGTACCCCAGTCAAAATTGATGCATTTTGTTTATTATGGGAAAGTACCATAATTTGATAACTTATTTAATGAGGAAATATTAGTTTCTCTTTTACCAAAAAAAAAAAATGTACCAACATACCTTCTATAGCATATAATCACTAAGGTTATATTTTACACATTATTAACTTTGTTCCTTCACATGTGGAAACTCAGCACCAATGGCACGAGGCACACCTAAAAATATATTATTTTAGCCTAAACTCTGAAATTAGTGATATGATGCATATTCACTAAAATAAAACCTAGAGCATAGCACATGACTCATATTAGAACAAGAACACTAGAATCTGAATAATTTGAATTAAGGATTGCCAATGTTCTTTGTAATTCCATAAAGAAAGCCAACAACATAAAACAATAAAGAACAATAACTATAAATAACATACAGAAATAATCATAGCCTAGCTTGGTAGACCTAAACACTATAATGAGATATTTGCTAGAAGAGTAAATATTCCTGCATCAAATGCATGCTAATAGGTGACCCAGACATTACGTGAGAGACTATCTCTAAGCATTACGCTTAACTTATTTATTGGTATCCCTGAAAGGGAAATTTAGAGGTCTCATCAAAACAAACCAATTTACCTCTGTCTCAACTTAGACAGACACATTAATACAAACCTGCTGACACTCCCGTCTTGTTAGGAGTGTAACACATTGCTTTTTGGAAACGAAAGGAAAAACCCAAAGTTGCATCAACAACAAAAAAGATAATTCAATACATAAATCAAACAATCAGAAACCTAAAGAATGAAAAGAAAACTCCAATGTATAGGAAAAGCAAAGATAAAAATGGAGAACAATCCCCCCCAAATCAAAGGAAAAACTAACCCGCTGAGTTGGGAGTTGAGGGTGAGTTAGCTTGGCTTCCATGGGCTGACACATTGGTGGCAGTGACAGCCGTTTTGGCAGCATAAATATTGGCTTCCTCTTGAAATTTACCTATGTTCTTCTTGTACCGGATTCGCTTATTTCCAAACCAGTTTGATACCTATAACAGTTTAAAAGAAGATAAGAAAAGTTACCATCTCATCCTTCAGAAACTTGACAGAAGAAAAAGAAGCGCTTATGCGAGGATGAAGAGGTAGGCTAATTGGTCTCATTCTACGCGTGATTTTTGCGACATCGATAAAAAGACGTGGAAGAATTTTAAGAGGAACCACTGCAGAAAATGAGATTCTCTTCTTAACATAACCAAAATTTAACAAAATCACTGTGATAAAAGTTTTCCTATAGAGGAGCTGCTCATTTAAGCTAGGACCCTTTTAATTTACAGCAAGCATTTTACGTTTGCTTACCTATTCAGTTGCGGCAATAAAATCAACCTTTCAGGAGAAATGTCTCTTATCAGTGCTAAATGTGACTGTGCATAATTAAAATACACAGGCCTTTAAATATCCCTACAAAATCTATATCAATATATAGGTGCTTTCCTGCAACAGATTAATTTCAAATTTTTAGAAGTTTAATAACTTTAACACTCAAATTAACTTAGATTTGTAGCTGTTTTTTTACTATAGACCTTAGGATCAATATAATTCAATCCAATGGATTTTACTGAGTATTTTGTGTAAAGCTTGGTATTGTCTACATCAGGAAACACTGAAGCATATAGCTGAATATTCCTTTGAATTCCAGGCTTTAAATGTTAAAGCCAATGAACACAATAAACCTAATTTGCTTTCATTTGTTAATTTATTTTCTTCATGTAGCTGTCTTGGTTTGGTCTGGTACCTCTGTTCCCTTTATACCAAGACCTCTTCCAGACACAAGTAGAGATACAGTTAAAACTCAAGTTTTACTCTCATAATTCCTGTGTTGGGGAGGCAAGTTTTATACTTCATATTCCAGATGTGATTTTGAACCAAAATGTTATGGCTTTTGTAAAATTACAAAACAAACTACAAAGTTGATGAGGATGGGGGAATTAATCGAACACATACGATAGCTTACATATAATTTATATTAATATTTACTTCCCGATAATGGCAGATAAAAGAAAATTCTTACAAAACTACACTTATTTTTTAAATACATTAGCTGAGTTAAAACATCTTACAAGGCTAGCCCTCAAAGGCTTACACTACAGCAGAAATGCCAAGCATTCGTTAAAAAAATCAAACTGTACCATTACAGCATTAGTAAACAAGAGAGAAAAAGTTTAAATAAAATGCTTTATTTATTGTAAATACTGGTGTCTACAGAAAAACAGAATTAAACTGGAGGAGGAAGGGGACTTCACTTTTAAATTCATGTTTTTCTTGATATAACTTTCACTGTCCATATGAATCAATCATAATTAGGGTAGCTTTTTGATTTATAAGTGGTACAGGAGAGGGAAAAAAGGTAGGGAGATTTTTCTCAGGTATCTAGACGACCTGGAACAAAGAGGGGGAAGATGATAGTTTAGGAGGACTTTTGAGGAGCAAAGGAAATACCGGAGGTCAAATTAAATCAGCTATATGTGAAAAAAAAAATGAGTTGGAAGGAGGTGGAGAGGGGAGATGGTGTGGGAACTATCCCCTCGTAAATGAGAAGAATGGCACTGGTAGGAAGATTCTAGGTCACTTCAGGCATTTCCTGCACTGTCCACTAGCTCATATCATATGCCTGGACAATGCACAGAGTCAGTTTTTTTCTGACATTGGTCAACTAATGATTCATCAGCTCATGGATTAAAGACCTAACATGTGTTAGGCACTGGAGATGCCCAGATGACAGACACAGCATGAGACAGGTAATACGGAAAGAACAGTAGATTTTATAGGAAGAGTTGGATTCACATTTCAAACATACTAATATTGAAGACCCTATGGGGAGAGACACAGCCAAGTCCAGTGGGAAGGAAGATGCATGAGTTTGGTGTTCCAGGAGAGAGCTTCCATCTGGATATTCAAATTGAGGTACATTAGTAGCTGTGAGCATGGAAGACGTCACTCAGATAAAGTATGTAGTACAGGGCTTTTCAAAGCTACGTGTTCACGGAGAGCTTGTTAAACACATTGGCTCCCGAAGGCTCATTTTTATCTTCAACAGGGATTTGAAATTCTGAATCCTACACTTGGAATTCAGACAATAAAGTGATTACATTCTACTTGAGAAGCAGAAGACTCCATGACTAAAAGTCACCGATTTGTGAGTTAGTGATGTAATTCATACCTGGAACCATTTATCAGACGTGCAGCAAATGTTAAAAAGCTTCAATTCCTTTTTTGTTCTTGCAGACAGGTGTCTACATTTGGACAAGAATGGTTACAGCCTTATAACAAACTAAGCTACTTGAGTTTGACCACTGATGTTCTGCTTTCCCAGAACTGTCAAGACTGGCAATGACCCCCAGCTGAGTCAAAGCACCCAAGAAAGGCCTGAAGTCCATTCATTCTGCCTTAGCTGAAAGGATGTTTGCAGCTGCAAAATCATCTATAGCTCACTGTGGCGGCCCTGGCATTCCTCTCATTGTAGGTATCTTCCGTGGAGTTCTGTATTCTGACCAGACCTAATTCTGGCTTAGCTAAACACAAGTTGATGGGATCACACCATGCAGGGAGTAACAGGAGACAGGATTGTCTCCTGCAATTGAGGACTGCAACTCAAGGAGGTGCAGTTTATCCAAAACAGCATCTACTTCATTTGAAAACTATTAAGTGAAGCTTCTCACTAGAGCAGGCTTCTCCACGACTCCCTCCCCCTCCTCCACTTTTAGTGGAAATATTAGTACATTTAGTTTTCTTGCATGTTACATAATTCTGGGGAAAACTTTCTCTGACACATTTTAGAACAATCACTACTGGTCTCAACTGTAGACCAGTGGTGGTATCTGAGGTTCAGAAGAATGAGAAGGTTGGATGGATCCTCTGAGTGGACACAATGTATACACATATAAAAACTGTCTGCTTTTCTATCTCATGTTCATGTTGAAGATTCCGGGTGTATACAAATTTTACATCATGCATTCTAAGTCAACAGGCACCGGTTATGGTTACTGCTCTTTGGGGGAAGGGGTCACTCAGTGACATTTTGTGCGACCATTCCATGTAATCATAGTGACATGTTAAAATTCCTACACTCAGTCACAGAGTCAGCACATCAAGAGAAGGCATTTAAGTTCCTTTCATTTAAAAGGCTATGTAATGACTACTTCCATTCACTGACTCTTAAAGTTCCTGGGCTGGGCAAAAAATGGCTAAGGAATTGACTAAGTTTGAGAAGAGAGCAGGAGGAATTCAGATAACTTTGCAAGTACATTAAGACATTTGGAACAAGGGAGTGGTCCGTGGGAAGAACACTATCCCTGTTTTTACACTGTACTCTACTATTCTCCTCCTGCTAGTCCCTCTCAAGTTTTGCCAGGTACTTACCTGGAAACTCCTTTATATACATCAAGTGCCTACCTTGCCATTTTAAGGCTTTAGCTGACAGAACCTGCAAGGCATGAATGTTTCTTAAAGCAAGACCTCCAGGCCCCTGCCTTGTGGTGCCACCAGGGCCAGGCTACAGGCTGGGCCTTTTGAGGGGCCCCTTACCTGGGAGACTGTGATGCCGCACTTCTTGGCTAACTCCTCTTTGGCTTCCTCACTGGGGTAAGGGTTGCTGAGATGGGAATAGAAATATTCATTCAGGATTTCCGTCGCTTGCTTGTTGAAATTCCGTCTCTTCCGCCTTCATAAAGAGAAAGGAAACAGTAACAAAAAAGTTTGCACCAAATAAATATATTCATAGGGAGAGAACAGGATCTACTTCTGGGAGAAGACCAATGTTTGAGCAAAAGGTGAATTAGAGAATATTTGCCAAAAAAAAGGGCTGGATACCAAAAGCATCACTAAAAGCATTTGTTCGATACTTCTTTGTGCACCAGCTGGGCACCTGGGCACCAAAGAGAAGAATGGTGACAAATATTTTTACAGAGTGGTGAGGAGCATGGAGTTGCAGAATTCAGGCCATCTTGGTTTTGAATCCCGGCTCAACTGAATACCCGCTGGGTGGTTTGGGCTGCCTCTCTGGCCTCAGCTTTATCAACTGGAAGTGAAGAGAGTCATACTGACCTCACAGGGTCAGTGGGGGAGAAATGAGGTCACACACAGCACTTGCCACAGTGCCTGACACTCGGCAAATGCTAGGACTAATGGTGACAGTTTTTCTTCCTACCAGGCTCCAGGTATTGGCCTTAGTCTTCATAGCAATCCAGTCTGGTTATTCATTTTTCACAACTAGGGAGGTAGACATGCTTTTTCCTATTTACCTATGAAAAACTGAGTTCAGAGGTCACTCAGCTGGTACCCTACAGAGCCAAGATATTCATTCAGGTGTGCCCGACTACAAAACCCAGTCTCTTTCTTCTATACAAACTGGCTCCTGGCAATTACACAGAGACTCTGTAGCCATAAGTTAAAAATAAGTTATCATTTTCTTTCTATTCTATCCCCATGTAAATGCATGAAACATTTTTCAAAGGCATCAGGGGAAGAGAGGGCATAGAGCTGACTGAAATTAACCCCCTGAAGGCCTGACCTCTCTTAAAAAGAAAGAAGTGGCACTTCTTAAGCAAGAACAGCTGCTAAATGGTAAAACAAAAGCCCACAGAAATCTTTTTCATATACAGGTTGCCAAAAGGAAGAAAAGCACTTTTTTTGAATAAAAGCATTTTGCTGCCTTTTAAAAAAAGGTGCTAATTGAACTAATTTAAAGTGAGAATCACTTTATTGCTTCCTCCCAGCCAAGGCCTGTGGACCACTGAGAGAACAGCTCAGGGGACTGACTGCAGGCTCACTGGCCAGCCCTGCTTGACGTTGTGGGGCCTTCATCTTTAAATTAGCTCTCTTAGCACTTTTGCCTTTCTTGCTTTCTTGCTTTTCCTTATGGAAAAGATTTCCAGAACACCCCTGATTACGCCAGGATACAGGATTTCTCAATTTAGCCAACAGAAAGCACTGATGGCCTTGCTAGACAGGAAATTCAGCTAATAATGTATTTTCAGGGTCCCACTTGGATTAATTAACACAATAAAGTGCCTGATTTTACCGGATGAACACCATCTGTCCACAGGTATTAACCACATCTGTCCAGATTATGCCAAGCCCAAGTCACTCTCCCAAATCATGCTGAGTTTCTGGGTCACCCAGCATCAGAAATTGTATAGATGGGATTTAAAAGCCCAACTAAAAAGTAGGCATGTGTTAAAAGCTCTTGCATGAAGGGAATTTGGGGAAGACAGCCAAGTGGCTAACTCAGGTCTCCAGGCCAGTCTTTGGATAATCTTTCTCTGCTGCTTCTTCGCCTAAGGAAGACTGTTGTTTTAGGCCTGAGGAACTGGACCCTGAAGGCTCCCCTGATTGGGAGAGCCTCTGGTTGTTCATTCAGTTGTTTGCATTAGCATTGCAGTGTATTTTTTGGGACTCTTCCAACTGAGCTCAAAGGAAGCCTCTCTGGAATGAGCTGCTGGTGTGCCGATGGTGCAGACAGCTGTTCCCGGCTCCCTTCTCCTCGTGATGTGCAATCTTCCCTAGGTGGTCTCATCTATTCTGATGGACTCGCTTATCGCCTCTTTCGGTAGCTGTCTCAATCTAGGGGCCTTTGAAATCCTAGGATCAGGATTTTTCAGAATCGCAAGAAGCCTGACGAAAATAACACCTTTCTGACAATAAGTTTGTTTGAGTTAACTGAGACACTTGGTTTCTTTGCATTGGCTTGAAGTGTTCTCAGGTGGGTGAGTTAACATTTGTGATTTCAAGGCAATCAGAAGCTTTGAAAGTTGGGTCTCTGGACTTTTAATTTATGAAATGTGGCGTTGATTAAATATTACTGGATAAATATGGTATTTTTAGGGACAGAAACCTTCCGAATCAAGGGGTTCATGTGGGAAAATTTTTATAAAAGACTTGTGATCGTGAGAGGTGTAGGTACCACAGATACATGTTGCTAATTACCAAATATGTTGTCTCTTGCCCTAATGCCTCTCTTAACAGCCATTGGCAGATTTATCATTGCATACATCAGGCACCTTCAAACAAACTGTGTATCCAAAACTATTATCACTTTTCACCCAAATCAGCTCTATCTTCTTTATCACCCACATCATTTAATAACATTATCACAGATACAGTTCATTGCACTTCCTAATTTGTTCATTCATTCATTCATTTGTTCAAACACTTGAGTACCATCTAGCCAGAACATGGGGGTCTCAATCCCTCCTGCTTTCTTATCTTCATCCAATGATTGGCCCCAAAGCAAGTCCTGCCAGTCCTATCCTTTCAAATCTATCCCTCTTATTCAGTTCTTATTGTCACTGCTATTTTCTTTTCCTTCAAAGAGGAGAGATGTTTTTATTATGATCTTTTATATATGTGGTTAAAGTGACGTATTTTTTTTAATTTCAAAATATTAAGAGTGTACTGCTATTTTTGAAATGAGGTTAGAGGACCAACTGCCTATCACGTGATTGTATGACTAGTGCTGTCTGTGCAATAGCACTTTCTCCAATGAGTGGAATGTTCTATGCCTGATCTATCCAATACAGTGGTCACTAGCCATATTGGCTGCTTAGCAGCTGCAATGTGGCTGGTGCAACTGGGAGACCTCATTTTAAAAATTTTATTTATTTCAATTTAATATTATTTTAATTATTTTTTTGCGTCTATAGATAATATTGCTATAATTAATTTAAATTTAAAATTAAAGAGCCATATCCTAGACAGCGCAACTCTAGAGCGATGTTTTCCAGAAATAGTGCCCATGCAGCCCTCCTGGAAAAAGAGCACATCTCGGCTGGGCGCGGTGGCTCACGCCTGTAATCCTAGCCCTCTGGGAGGCCAAGGCAGGAGGATCGCTCAAGGTTAGGAATTCGAAACCAGCCTGAGCAAGAGCAAGACCCCATCTCTACTATAAATAGAAAGAAATTAAGTGGCCAACTAAAAATATAGAGAAAAAATTAGCCGGGCATGGTGGCGCATGCCTGTAGTCCCAGCTACTCAGGAGGCTGAGGCAGGAGGATCCCTTGAGCCCAGGAGTTTGAGGTTGCTGTGAGCTAGGCTGATGCCACAGCACTCACTCTAGCCTGGGCAAAGAGTGAGACTCTGTCTCAAAAAAAAAGCACATCTCTGGGGACACCATCAAAAGCATGAAATCTCTTTGAAACCTCCTGTTTTAGTTTACTCCATAACATATCAATGTGTATCTTCAAATAAATATATTTTCCTCTCAATATTTACATAAAATGTGGAAGCTATTTCGTACTTATTCTGCACTGTTCCAGGGTGAGGAACACAGGCTTCAACAGTGGTTGTTTTTACCTTATCTCTTCTCTAATGTGACTCATCTTCATGAGACTCTCGAGTAACTTTTCTACACCATAGATCTGATCATGCCACTAATCATTATAAAATTGAATAATACTATATATATTAATAATACAATATATAATAATAGTAATGGTAATATATAATAGAGTAATCATTCTTTTATAATAGCTGAATCAGGATGTAAATATTATGCACTAGACATTCTACTAAGTTGGTTTTTCATAGTATCTTCTTTATTCCTGTTTCTACATTATTCCCATTTTACAGATAAGAAAACGGAGGCTTTGGGAGAAGAAGCCACTTATCCAGGGTCACAAAGGTCATTATGGTTATAGCCAGGATTTGAATCCAGTGCAATTTTAGAACTTAGGTGGCAATTTCCCACACTCCCCCCTTAAACAGCTCTGAGGGTTTCTGCTGCTTAATAAATTCAAAATCACTGGTACATTTAAGGTTTTCCAGTGCATCTTTCCTATCCCTAAAGCTTCATTTCCTCCCAGTCCAACACATGCTGTGCATAATTTCATGTAGCCACATCATGTGCGTCTGAATTCCCCAAAGGCTGGTGGCTTTCGTGCTCCGGTGCCTCCCCACACCACCCTGCACGTTCCCCTGCCGCAGCATTTGCCACAAGTTTACATGTCTCCCCAACCAAACAGCAAAGTCCTCAGGGGTGGGGGCCATGTCTCGCTCACACTTGAAACCCTCGTGTCGAACATACAGTAAGCACTCGAGTACATAATGCTCGTTGAAGTCTAATGATGTTGTTTTATTTTGCCCATGTTATTCCTTCTATTTAGCAAATATCCTGGGTCCTCTGAGACACAGTCTTGCCTGCCCTCCCCCTGATCCTCTGCCCTTCTGATGCAGGGTTAGGTGGTAGGCGAATGAACTTAACGGGTAACATGCAGTGTTAGATTTAGTTGCAATGGTGTCGGTTTGTCTCACGAGATTGCAAGCTCCGTAAAGGTGCGACCCACATTTATCTGCATTTTTTCATCTTTGTTATTGCAGTATTGTTATTGCATCTTTGTTATTGCAGGCAAATATAGCACCTGGAAGATAGTAGCCGGTCAACTAGATGAGTAAATATGTCTAAGTAGAGTGCAGTGTGACCAGACCTTGGTGCACATCCTTTCCCCTTTGGTAATTCATTTTATGTAATCCCATCTATGGGGGGGGAATGAAAATGCAGAGGTGTACTTTATTTTATTTTTTAATTTATTTTTATTTATTTTATTTTTTTTTTGAGACAGAGTCTCGCTTTGTTGCCCAGGCTAGAGTATATGCGTGGCATCAGCCTAGCTCACAGCAACCTCAAACTCCTGGGCTCAAGCAATCCTCCTCCCTCAGCCTCCCGAGTAGCTGGGATTACAGGCATGCGCCACCACGCCCGGCTAATTTTTTCTATATATATTAGTTGGCCACTTAATTTCTTTCTATTTATAGCAGAGATGGGGTCTCGCTCTAGCTCGGGCTGGTTTCAAACTCCTGACCTCAAGCAATTCTCCCGCCTCGGCCTCCCAGAGTGCTAGGATTACAGGTGTGAGCCACCATGCCTGGCCTCAGAGGTGTACTTTTAATCACCTGTTTATGTTACTATTGCTATTTCCAGCAAATTGTAATGGAAAAAAAAAGTTAAATTTATTGCTTGAAAATCAATTAGAGGGTTCATAAGTTCTCTCTCTCTCTAAGAAAAAACATGATCTATGGTCCTAACAATAAACTTACCAGTGGCAGGCACAAAGCTTGGTACATGGCGTGGTATGATTAAAGGTGAATGAATGAACCAATGAATACAATTGTTAAGGTTATACTTCCCCAGCACAGCTGATTCCATGTAAGGACGAGAGAAAAGACATGACCCGAGTGGGACAAACCTGTGCCCGGCACTCAGTTGAGGAGTGTGGCAGACAGAATCCCAAGGTCCCAGACCCCAGTACACATACCTTCCCCTCGAGCGGATGGGACAGTAAATATGAAAGGATGTCGCTCCTATGATTAAGTTACTAATCGGCTGACTCTGAGTAAATGAAAAGGGAGATTCAGTTAAAGCCTTAAAAGGGAGAGTTTCTCCCGTTGGCTTTCAGGAAGAACGCAAGCAGCCAAGTTGTGAACTGTCTATGAGCAAGGATGGCCTCTAGGAGCTAAATAAGGCTCTCAGTCCCACAATCACAAGAAAACTGAATTCTGCCAACAACCAGAATGAGCCTGGAAGAGGACCCTGAGCCTCAGATGAGACCACAGCCTCAGCCTATAGCTTGATTACAGCTTTGTCGAGACTACAGCAGAGCACCCAGCTCAGCCATGCCCAGACCCTGACCAACACACACTGTGAGATAATAACTCGTGTTGTTTTAAGCTGCTCAATTTGTTGTAATCTGCTACACAGCACTACAAAGCTAACACAATGAGGGTTCCATAACAATTCTACACCCCTATTAGATTACAAAGGCTAATCCTATTACTAAAGCAAGTCCTCTTTGTATTTTATTTGTCTTCCATGAAATCTTTTTTTTTTTTCCCTGATGAGGTCCTGCCCATCAGATGCATGGTTTAGAGTAGCATGTGAATTATCCGCAGTGAGTGAGTACACCTTTCTTACTAAGGTTTGCTTAAATATCTCTCCGAATTACGGTGACGCCAGAGACACTGGTGTGAATTCCCCCATCAGTAAGTCCTGCAAACATTTATTTTTGAGCCGGGAAAGCCATTTGTTCAGCCTTGGGCTGGCATATGGGGTTATGGTCTTTCACTGATAATAAATATACCCCCCCAAATAAAATGATAATAGCCATGACAATAGGTTAGTTGTTTTAGTTTTGAATCTTGGCTTGAGAGGCAATGATTCAAAGGCTGTAACCAAAGCAAGAAGAAAAAGACCCCGTCTGAACGTGATTGTCCTTCTGGTGCCAACTGGAACAATCTAGGCAAAGGCTGGTAGAAGTGAAAGGAACTGTGTACAAAGCTCGCCTAGTTGTGTGTCTTTTAGAGCCTGACCTTCAACTGGGCAGAGCAGAATTACTGCGAGAAGATATCCAAGGAGACAATGATTCTGCTCAGATTTCTTTCTTGAAAAGAACCCAGTCTGGACCCAACTTTTCTTTTCTTTTCTTTTTTTTTTTTTTTTCAGTATCTGCCAACGTAAATACCAACCCCAGCATTTTAACTAGGGGTTACCATGGGGATGTAAGGAACACATGCAGCATGGCAGTGGCTGCAGCAAAAAGGAAGGACCTAGACAGAGCCACCAGTCACTTGCACATTGTAGAACGGGCTGCACTAAAGAGGCCAGGCTGGCAGCAGGCCATGGGGGAGGGGACTGCACAGAGGGTCCTGCTTTGGGGTGACTTTGCCTACTCCCACTCCATCGCTAGGCCCAGCTGGGAAAAGCTGTCTTCATTTTTACTTTCTCTTGACCTACCCTATAAAATTCTATTGGCCCAGAGACACAATTGGCTGCTGGTATTCTCATTTTGTATTCCACGCAACCCAAAACACATTGAATAAAAAGGGGAGTGTAGGAGAAGATGCCAGGCAGTTTTGCAGAGGTCCACAAACTGTGAAGACCACAACTGGGAAGAGCAAGGTGGGGGGGGGGTCGCGGAAAATGCAGGTAGGAGAGCTGAATAAAACCCGATTTCAGGGGTGAAAAAATTCAAGAGGAATGGCAGATCTTTTCGTCTGACCGAAAAGAAACAAAACTATAGACTGTGAAACGGTACACTGACCCTCACAGAGCTAGCGTTCTAATAATAAAAATCACAGTTTGGAGTCATTTTTAGCAATTGAAATTGTGAATGATGATGTCTGAATTCACAGACGACTAATTTAAGACGAACCATACATGGCAAGTCATACCCACACTCGGTAAAATGTATTTGCTAGATCAATTATCAAAATATTCTCCTAGAGTGGGTGAAAGGTAGGATTATCACCATCTTGCAGGCTGGGGAAGAGAAGCAAAAGGAGTCCAAGGGATTCATGTAAATCCACTGGTCTAGACAGTAGTGGAAATAGGAACTGACTGCTTGTTCTCTGGTCTTAGTTCTTGTCTTTTTCTAAAGGGCCTTCCTACCCATGCTTTCTTCAACTGAATGCTTCGAACTCACAAGTAAGTGCATGAGCAGCAGTGCCAGCTAGAAAACATCAGTTAATTGATGATCATTTTGGACCATCTCCTTGCCCTTCTATGCCCAAAGTACCACGTCTTATTCATCTCTGTACTCCTAAAACTTATGCCTGAGTGTGGCACTCACTTGGTAATCTACTGATAAATATTTCTTGAATTGAACTGAGTGCATTCCCTGCCTACACAGAGTGTACAGAAGACCCCAACGTTCAAGCAAACGGAAGTGACTTTTTTGGACGTATGTCACTACAGCGTGCTGGTAAGATGACTACAGGCATATAGTTATGAGATTCACAAGAGAGGTACCCAAAAAATCCTGCCTTCTCTCTTAATGTAGCTAAGTCTTCCTTTCTGCCCACCTGGAGGGAGGAGCAGTGGAAATAAAAATCATTCCCTCTGAGGACGTATTTCCCTGGTTCTGTGTGAAACCAACGGCCTACCCGGCCTCACAGCCCTCCTTTGCCAGACCTGAGAACCGTCCTCGGGCTACTGCTTGGATCGGCGCTGACAGGGTGAATCGGGAGCCCCTAGAGAGGGCCAGCCCGTGAACTCCGGCCCCCGAGCGAGACTCACCGCGCATCCAGAAACCGGGAACGCAGGATCATGACGGCCTCGCACGTGCTCTGCTTGAGCTGCATCTGGATGGAGCTGAACTTGCGGTGGATGATGCTCACCATCCGCTCGATCTCCTTCGGGGAGATGGGCCGGGTCCGGCTCTGCTCTCGCAGGAGGTTCATCACGTGAGTGGTGAACTCGTTGCATGCCTGGAACGGCAGGACAACACACGCGGGGTTACGGAGGGTCCAACCCTCAGCACGCATCGGGTCTGGGACGGAAGGCTGGGTGGCCTTTTCTAGAGACTTGTGCAGATAAGGAAAACCAGGAGAGTCTGTGGTGTTTTGTCATCTCAGAGGGTGGAATAAATGACTACCTGGAAAACCCCTCAGCCCCAGTGGCTCTAAGTTTTGGCCATGACGCTGATTTTTTTTTTTAAGGGGAAAAAAATTCCTAATCATTTTTTTCTTAATCATTTTTTCCATGATTTTACTATAATGAAAGGTAAGAACACGAATCCTAGCATAAAACATACTTCACCACCCTTTGCCCCCAAACTAACAGCCCAGCAGCCAAAGAAAGTTTAGGTTCAAAGATAGCATGAGCCTTCTGCCTTGTTCATTTGATTATCTCTGGCATAGGAGAGCTTGCGAACATTCAACTTTGAGATGCATAAAGAGCCAGAAGAATTTAAGTGGGATCATGGAATTAAAAGCTTTGGTAACTCTTCCGGGAGATTTTTCATCAATCTATTTCTACTTCTACTTTTATTGTAAGAACCCCTCTTGTGCTGGCCTTCTAAAGATCCACTATGTCTATAACACGAAGCGAATTTGTCTCCAGTGGCCTCAGAGAAACAGCTTCAAAACATGATTTAGAGCTGCAGCCCTCAACCCCCTGGCCAGAGACTGATGCCAGTCTGTTGTCTGTTAAGAACCATGCCACACAGCAGGAGGTGAGCAGCAGGCAAGTGAGCAAAGCTTCATCTGTATTTATAGCCGCTCCCCATTGCTCCAATCATCACACAGGCTCCGCCTCCTGTCAGATCAGCAGCATTAGTTTCTCACAGGAGCGTGAACCCTACTGTAAACCGTGCATGCAAGGGATCTAGATTTCCCAGCTCCTTATGAGAATGCAATGCCTGGTGATCTGAAATAGAGCTGAGGCGGTGATGCTAGTGCTGGGGAGCGTCTGCAAATACAGATGATCATTAGCAGACAGGTTTGACTGCACAATAGATGTGATGGGCTTGAATCATCGTGAAACCATCCCCCAGTCCGTGGAAAAACTGTCTTCCATGAAACTGGTTCCTGCTGCCGAAAAGCTTGGGGACTGCTGATTTAGAGGATTCAGGAACTATCTCTGCAGGAATAAAAATTCTCAGCCCAACATACCATCAGCTCTGGAAGGAAAGTAAGAGATCACATTTTCCCACCTCCCTATTTTATAGTTGGGAAGACAGTGGCCCGGAGGGATGAAGGGGCTTTTCCAAAGGCACAGACCAAACAAGAAGAGGCAGAGGCAAGGCCCGAATACTTCATATTCCAAGCCAGGACCTCTGGTCCTTTCCCAGAGCCTAAACTTGCTACTCTGAAAACTCCTGCCCTCTGTTTTAGCCACTGAGCATCTACAGTCTGGTTTCCTTAGCTGGGCATTCAACAAAACATCCATTTACAAATTGACTCACAGCCATGCTGTAAAACTGTGTTAGATTTGCAATGAAAAAGACAAGATGATGCTATGAGAGTTGAAGAACTAAGGCCTCAAAGGGCTCCAATTTAACAGCAGAAACATGCTCATCAATTGATGACATTGTATCGTTGTTGCTTCTATAGCACAAACCCTCTCATACATGTCAATAATACAGTTAACAGTAACAGTACACATCTACTGATTATTTATCTAAGAAACGCTTTGAGGCTGGTTGGCCAAAGGGACCTAGGCAGATGCAGGCACCCACTGGGCTGTGTCTAAACAGGTGGTGGGAGGCCTCATTTGTGATCCTGCTTCCATGTGTATTTGGACAAATCCTTTCACCACTGAGTGCCTCATTTCATTCACCTGAGAGTGGACACAGTCATTCCTAACCCTTTAGCAAGGCTAACAGGACCATGCTCTTGTGCTATGGCCTGTGGGTGGAGCAAACTGCTCACATGAACACAGTGACCACACAGCCTGCCCCGGTGAAGGTCCTGCCTCTGGGACTCTTGTAGCTGTGGGACCTTTGAAAGTTGCTTAATCCCTCTGTGCCTCATTTTCCTTATCCGTAAAATGGGGACCACAATACCCACCTCGCAGGATATGGTAAGGGTGAAATGAGTCACCATGCCTGTGTCTGGCCCTACAAATGTGTGTCATGATGATCTCTTCCAAATACAGACCATATTACAAATCCAACCTATCTGGGTATGTTGATAATTGGGTAAACTTCTCCAGGCTTCGGTTTCCTTTTTGGTGAAATTACAGGCGGTAATAAATACCTCCTTTCCACTCTGCAGGCATATGCTGAAGACAAACCCACAGAGGACAGGTCCGTATAGCATTTTGCTCTTCACTCGGAAAAGTGCTACATGATCACAAGATCTGTATTAGAAGCTTATTCCCTATTGAACCCCACCCTGGGAACTGTACAAGAAAGAGAGGGAAGCAAACCCTGGCAGTGAGTTGGCTGAAATTCTAAGGCCACAGGATGGAGAGTGGAGGGACAGGCACAGAGCAAGCACCCCAGTCATCCTTATAGGGAAACAGAGCGTCCCGCTGGGATGCAGTCTCCCCACCCTGTCGTCTGGGCTCAAAGGGAGGAGGGGCTGGCTGTGAGGAGGTATTGTCAAGCGCACCGGCTCTCAGCTGGGAAGCCACAGTGCTCGGCTAATAATAATGTGCTTCATTACAGTGAATAAAAATACTCACAATATCTGATGTTTATTCAGGGCAGTTTATCCCGGGGCCCTTTCTGCTCTGTAATAAACAGACAGTGGCGTCGTTTCACCCACTGCTGAGGTGGAGCAAAGCAGCTGCTCAACAGCTGTTCGGGAACGCACACCAGAGAGCAGAGAAGAGCCCGAGTCCGTGTGAGATGCACGGAACATAATGGCCCGGACGTTCCCAGTGTCTGAGCTGCCCACACCGCAGCTTCACTTCCTCCCAGCTCGGCGCCCGCAGACTCCGGGCGGCTCCCGTTAGGCCAGGCACTCACCGCGCTGTTGAGTATGCGGGGTTATAGCCGTTGATGGAATAAAATCCTCACAGGCTGAGGTTTCTGCGACAGAGGAGACTCTGCTGTGGACTGTCACATGGAGAGTCACTTACTGGAGTTCAGGCTGCTGCCTGGGGCAGAGGGATTCCTAAAAGGAGACTTCCCAGGTTCCAGGGCAAGGGGGGTTCTGGGAGCAGAGAACTAAAGAGAAGTCTTCTTGAAAAATCTCACATACAGTTTGAGTATACATCCCGCACTATGTAAACCATAGTCTTCCCCGACTCTTCAAGGAGATGGATTGGATTGAAATCCAAGAACGAGATAGGCTTTGGCTGCCTAGCTCACCCACCAAAGTAACTGGGATCTTAGGGCTCTCCTAGCTGTGAACTCAATGAACCCAATCCAGTTCAGCATTAAAGATGTAGTCCTATCAATGCCCCAACAGCATTATTTATAAAAGCTGAAGAACCCCACAAAGCTACAAGAGGATCATTTCTTTTAATAACACTTAGAATAAAATTCAGGTTTCTGACATCATGGTTTTATCTATTAGACTATGCCAGCTCTTAAATACCTTAGCTACCAACATGATCTGCTGAAAAAGTGTTTTACCAATCCCATTTAATGAATAAAACAATTTTCTTCCTTTTTTTTCTAATGAAAGTCTCTAGAAGCCTTCTTTAATTAATAAGCACAGGGTGAAACAATGATGGCTGATTCGGTAGTTTTTTTTGGGGGGGTGAGTAGAGGGAGGGGAGCTATAATAGTTAATTATTGTGTGACTACCTGCCACCACCATACCAAAGGTAAAACAAAACAAAAACAACAGAATCAACTGTTAACTAATCAGTTTGGTAATTTCATATAGATACTACTAAAATAGATAGTGACATTTTTGCTTGACCAAGGTTTTCTCTTTTTAAGAAAAACCCATGAGGAACTGTTACAGAAAAATGAAGAAGATATATCTCTCAGACACACTAGCTAGAAGGTTAATAGCATAATTTCCCTACAATCTGCTATTTACTATAATTAACAACACAACTAATATTAATACGTTATTAAGCATGCAGAGTATGTTAAGCAGTATTCACTCCTTAACCCGAAAATGCCCATATAAATAAGAAAATGATGTTTCAGTTCTTTTTAAAAATAATAAATATGGATGACTGCTACAACTACTAGATTTACATTATTTGCTCTGTACTGACAAAGCTTTTCCTTAGGTTCCCAATTTTCAACATCTTTATTATTTAGAATAGATAGGTACCCAGGAGAAGTTTCTGAAGCAAATATTTTTATCACTAGCGTCTCTTAGGTGCCAGCAATCTAGTCCAGGGAAGTAACAGAGGACGAGCTGGTTACCTCAGTACCTGCAGACGTCCACACTCTCTTCTCGCTAAGTAGAGTCAGGCGTAGTTCCAATAAGAGCCCTTGGGCTAAGGGTCAAAATTCAGAACCTAGGGTAAACTCTGTCCCTCACTGCATGTGTGACCTGAAATGCATCTTAACCTCTTTGATCTCTGTTTCCTCACCTGTATCAAAGTGGAGATGATGACAGTACCTGTCCCAGGTACTCAGCCACAAAACTGCCCTGAGAACAAGTACAACTATGTCGGCCAAAGTGTTCGGAAGTGGTAATGTGCTACTGAAATGTCAGAGGTTTTACTCATTTGGGCTGAGGATGGAAGAGTGACCGAAAGCAAGAAAACAGTCAGCTCTTCTATGTTGCTGGCAACCTGAGCTAAGAATAAAGCCAGTTTTCAACACTTCCCAACCTAACATCCATTCCACTTATGGGTTTAGTGGAGGGAGCCACACTCTGGGCTCTTTTCTTGTGCCTTTCTTGGCATGGGTGACCCTGGATGACAGGTCTGGGCAGGCTGCTCTGCGAGAGGCCAGGCTTACTGGGTGAAGGTGAAGTAGGAAGAGCAATGAGTGGGAAGAACCCAAGAGGCCAGAGACAAGTGTTTATAGGAAACATCCCACCTCCATTCCAAAGTTATTAGCCCATTAGGTTAGGGCAGAGACTCTAAGTTCTAACATGATGCTCCAGGTGGGGGGAACTGTCATGGTTCAGTCAGTTGTCTGAGCTCAGCATCTCCTGGGATCTGGGGAAATGTTTACATGAGCCAATATGGCGTCAAGAACATGTGATCTTTCCCAAGAAGGCGAAGGACCATGACTCACGGGTTCTTATCACAGCTTGCTTCTATTTCCCTCTCCTTCCCCCCCACCCCCACCCCACCTTGTCTGATGGCTGAATTTCACAATGCTTGGCTTAGAGCTTCACAGCAATTTTTTTTTCCATGTAAAAGAGAGGATTCTGTAGGAATCTATTTCAAAGGTAGATACAAGTGCAATATAATGAAACTTTCTTCACTTTAAATTTTTAAATGCCCATTTCTATTTTAAAATTTAAATTTTCTATTAAGTTTGCATTTGCCGTCTCCCTAGACAGTTACAAGTGGACTGCAGAGAGGGTCTTCTATCTTTTGCTTTTTCTCCCTCTTCTTTTTTTTTTTTTTTGGCTCTTAAAAAAGGGAAAGAAAACCTAATAATTCAATCGAAGTAAGTTAATGCAGAACTTCAGTATAATGCCATCCAAAGAGGTGACAACACACTTATTTGTCAGCTAAATGACAGGAAGGATGGCTGATTTTAAAGGACTCCTGGTAAAGTAGTATTGCTCAGACTGACCAGAGGAAACATATTGACATATAAATGTGTATATGTTGGAGGGTGGGCTGGGGTGGGGGAGGCGTCTCTAACAAAGAGAAGCCCTGTTATCATGAGAACACCTTATGCTGCTTTGTAATTAAAAGCCTTTCTTATCCTTTCCTTTATATGATTATTATGGTCCTTCATACTCTTGACTCCAAATCCATAGCTCTTTGCCATACACCATCAGCTTTTGGGGTACACAGAACACTGGACCCCACAGATGGTCAGTGGAGTGCCAGGACTGGAATCCAAGCTTGTCTGGTGCTTGAGACCTTCTAGTCTTCTTACAGGGGAAGGTGTATATCTTGCTGTATATCATATATTACATAAAAAGCAGGATTTGTTTGACTCTCTATTGAACTAAGTCTAATTGCAATGAAGGACTTTAGGGCCAAGTTTTAATATCCTTTCCCATAGGATACCATGAGCATCCAAAGAGTAATCATTTTCAATAAAGAACAAAAAGACTAGAAAAGTCCTCCCATGTCCCTGCAGGTTAGGTGGTGACTCTGCTAATGACCTCTGGCACCCTGACCAGCCCTGGTACTGCACGTAATGGGAAAATGTTCCACAGTTGCAGGTGTTAGGCATTCCTTATATTGACTTGTCGTCTTCTGAAATCCTCATTTACAACTTCAAACATTTTTGAATGCCTTCGTCTCCATATAATGCCTAGGTTTTTGTTCTGTTTTGTTTTGAGACAGAGTCTCGCTTTGTTGCCCAGGCTAGAGTGAGTGCCGTGGCATCAGCCTAGCTCACAGCAACCTCAAACTCCTGGGCTCTAGCAATCCTGCTGCCTCAGCCTCCTGAGTAGCTGGGACTACAGGCATGCGCCACCATGCCCGGCTAATTTTTTCTATATATATTAGTTGGCCAATTAATTTCTTTCTATTTCTAGTAGAGACAGGGGTCTTACTCTTGCTCGGGTTGGTTTTGAACTCCTGACCTCGAGCAATCGCCAGCCTCGGCCTCCCAGAGTGCTCGCATTACAGGCCTGAGCCACCGCGCCCGGCCAATGCCTAGGGTTTTTAATAGTTGAGGCCAGGACTCTGGGGGCTCAAATTTGGCCAGGCTCTCTGGCACCATGGCAAGAATGTCAACGTCTGGGAAAGGCTGACTGCTCGGTCTCTGTAAAACCCGGAGTTGTAGGTTTCCTCCACCCCTTCCCAGGGGGTCTAGGTGCTGAGCACCCCACGTTTGTGGCTACCTGCTCGTATTTCTCCAGCTCCGTGTGGTAGATTTGTCTGATCTGTGAGAGTTTGGCTCTGTAATCGGAATGCTCCACTGAGTTGTCGGAACCTGCCCCTCCGGAAGCCGCCGCCGCTGCAGCTGCTGCAGCCGATCCTCCGCCCTTCTCCGGCCCCGCCACCCCTTCCGCTAAGAGCATGTTGTCCAGTCGCATCAGCTGGGGGTCTGTGGGCTCCTCTTCCTGGGCTCCTCGAATACTCAAAACTACGGGAAAAGACAAAGGGAAAGGGGAGTGTTAATGGCAACCCGAGAGAAAATTTAAAGCAAAAACAATTGAAATAATTTGCTAGACAAGCCTCCAAATTACTTGCAACAGGGCACTTGAGGAAAAGAGTAAGGGCTGCAAAAAGAGACAGATGAACTGGGAGGGCAGGAAAATGGAAAGAAGGCTCACTTTGTTCCAGAATCATACTCCATCTATGTGAGGCAGCTAGAATAGTCGAATTTATGGAGACAGAAAGTAGAACAATGAGTGCCAGGGGCTGGGGGAGGCGGGCATGGGAGTTATTGTTTAATGGGTACAGAGTTTCATTTTGGGAAGATGGGAGTGTTTTTGAGATAAATGGTGGTGCTGGTTGCACAAAAATGTCAATGTTCTTAATGCCACTGAACTGTTCACTTAAAAATAGTTAAAACTGTTAAATTTTATAGTTACATGTGTTTTAACTACAATAAAAAATGTTTAAAGTATAAAAAGTTTAATTATAACAATGCAATTTTTACTTTTATCCCCAAACTATCAATTTTGAGAAGCATTTCCTTCTTTATTTCTACTATTTGATTTCTGTAAATGTGTGGGTTTGCACTCATTGACTTTCTTTGTAATATTTGATCAGTCTAAAATTTTCATTTCCAGAATAATCTAAGCTAGGTAAATCCAGTAAACTTGGAGCGAAATCTTAAGACTGTACCTCTGGACTAGGAGAGAGCAGAGATAAGTCTAATATATTGATAGTAGGAAGACAAATTGGCTTTGGAGTAGGGACATCTAGCTCCAAAACTTGAGATCTACCTGTTCCAGGTGATAAGGACTCTGCCCTGTCGCAAACAAGGGTGAAGCCCTTTAAACAAGGTGTCTCGGGGATTCAGAGAAGACAGTGCTCTGGGAGGATGGAGTCTCCATCAGTGACATGGCTGCTTTTTATTAAAACACCATGAATATTGGTGGTGATTTGGACTGAAAGAGAGCGAGTGATTTAGTGAATCAGCAGAAGAGCTAGACAGTCTTTTTTACTGCCCCTCCACACAACCTGCCATAAAATAAATCACTCATCTGCATCCGGTTTAGTCACCAGCAGTCAAGTCTTTGTTAAGAGGGAACGTGAAAAGTATTTTCAATTTTTAAAAACATTGAACAAAATTTTTGGATAAGGTAGGAAAAGGAGGGAAGTGATTAAAGGCAGAGAAGGGGTCTAGCGTTCATTTACATTTTGGGGATGGAGGTGGCAGGACCTAAGTCCCCAGGAGATATATGAGCACCAGAGCAGAGTCCAGAGCTGCTTCTGGGCGGGGTGTATCAGGTGAGCCCCATTCCAGTTGTATCCTGAGCCCTAGCAAGGCAGCCCCTTGTGAGTCCCGACAGGGAAGGCAGATATGAGCTCAATGCAAGAGGACATCCAGATGCTCAGGACATTCTGTCATGTGTAATACCAGCATCACTGCTGGCTGTGCCCACATGCCCCTGGCTTTCCAACAGACATGACAAGAACCAACCTTGCAACTGCTTAAAAGGAAATCCCAATTCCTGTGCCCAAAGGGATAGCTTGGCTCTCATGAAACATGAAACAGTCAAGTGGACCATCAAGCCATGTGGACCAGTGGTGGCAGTGAGGAGCAAAGACGATGATGAAAGGTACAGGGGAAACACTCGTGCTTCTTGATGAAGGAGAGGAAGGGAGAGAGGGAGCCAGGATAGGGAAGGCGGTTAGCCAGGAGGGAGAAAAGAAGGAAGCCCAACTTGGACACTTGGACACCTAGACACAGACCACAGCACTTCAGTACCAGGTCACCGTATTCCCTTTCTAGCCTGAACTTCTAATATTCTGCTGCATGGAAATAAAATTGCTATAGTGGCGATAGCACAAGGTCAGAGGATCATTGAGATTCTTTATGTGGATTTCTTCCCCCTCGCCCCCAAAGAAATCCTTCTTTTGTAGGCTCAGGAGACTGAATGGAAAATTGCCCCTTTGGTTGATCTTTGAATTATATTGAGTCGCATTATTCTGTTTCTTGAATTCATTTACACAAATCTCCAAAGTCTTCTTAAGAACATATCACCACCCATAAAGGTTTCCTTAAGAAAGTAACCAAATGCTGTAACCACTTCCTGAAAACCAGGTCCTAAAGGTGCTGAAAAGAATCTGCCCATCCAAGCACCTGGCAGGCCCAGCAGGGCCTCCTTCCTCACCTCTATGGTCAGGGCTGGTGGGGTTTATGGGTAAATTTAATTTTATTTGGTCAATTTCAATTGCTTTATCAACAAAGATATTTATGGGCCATTGACAGATTTAAAAAAATCATCTCTGAGCCATTAATAAACAAGTGTAATTGTTTCACCTTAGCTTGGTTATTAAAAAAAAATTACACTGATGAAAATTCTACTCTTTCATACACTGTACTGAGTCTCATGCCTAGTATATATACTCCCTTCGAAAGAGGCCGGAAGCCCCCAAGCAGGCAGGAAAATTGTCCGAGATGCTGCTGAGGCTGGGAACACTTCAGCCAGGGGGTGATGTCTCCCAGTGGGCCCTCCTGGTTATGCCTTCACCGACCCCTCTGGCATGCGGCCCAATGCTGAAAGATCTTATGACAGTTTCTTGCCTCAACAACAACACCACCAATGCAAAAAGGAATGCTATCATCTTAATGGTCAGTTCTTACCAAGGTGCATGTGGGCACTACCTACCTGAGGGGGCATCAAATACCCATGCCTCCAATAGCAGGTGCCTAAGCCTGCCCCTTCACTTCCTGAGCCTAGCCTTCTGGCAAAACTCAGTTGAGCCGAAGGAGGAGGTAGAGAGGTAAGATAGCCACAGCCCAGAGCTCTGGTCCTAGTGATCACGGACGCATCACTGCTAATATTTCCCACATGCCTAATATTTCCCTCTGAGAATATTTTCTCCTTCCAGGCTTTCTCAGTTTCATACCTATGCTCCACTTTTTCCTTGAACAATTGACAGGAGGCACAATCTATTCCACGTAAACTCTACACACCTGCCTAATTATTATTTTGTTTGGCCTTGAACCCTAACCGCTCTTAAAGAAAATGAGAAAGGAAATTGCTAAGCCTGTCAAAGGACACTGAAAGGACACACAGGAAGCCCCTACCCATTGTGGACATTTTGCGAGGGTCACAGAGTTTAAAGCACTGATTTTTTTTTCAGGTCCGAAGGATACATTTAGTTTTCAGAGGGTGGGGAGCAACAAAAAAGTGTTAGCATTTTGCTTAGATTTGGCAACATTTTATGAATCCTATAAACAAATACTCCTTAAACCGAAATTCGGAATCGCCAAGATTGAAGAGAATTGATTTCTTAGTGTAGCCAATTAGAAACTGGCATGATAGAAATACAACACACCATAATGCAAATGTTGCCTTGTTTACACTCAAGAGTTCAGCATGCAAAAATAGGTCCCAAACCAGAGATCTGAAGAAAATAAAAGAATGAAAAGATGTGGAAAAACAAAAAAAAACCCCATCAGTCCTCTCCAAATCACACCCTTTAAACTATACACAGATTACAGAAAAATAGAAAAGAAAATGTCAGAGTATGTGCAAAAACAAACAAACAAAAAAGAACAATATAAACGAGGGAAAACCTTAAAAGAAAATCTTCATCTACTTTACGTAGAAGATTCTGGTCCTGGTGGACTCAGGCTGTGTACGTATGCTTGGAGAGGGCAGGGCTGGGCCAATAAACAACACTTCATGGTCATCTTTCTATCCAGAACAGGGAGAATCTGAATGTACCACTATAAAAATGGGCGTTGGGATTCACTGGTACAGAAACTGTTCAGCTAGTCAGTAAAAGAAAAGAAAAAAAAAAACACCAACATTAAATAAATGAAAACGGTGATATGTCTAAGCAGAAGCGATTCCACCTATTTATTGCTTGAAGCCCGCACTAGGGCGAGTAGGAGACAAAATGATTATTTAAAAGCTCCTATTTTTTTTTTTTTTTATCTCTGCGGCACCATGCAAGACTCAAATGAACCTTTCGCCAGGACACCAGAGATGTTAACACTCATCTTCCAAGATCCAATTTCAACCAGCGGAGCTGTTACCTAATCCAGCAACCATCACATATGATCAGGTTCCTGTCCCTGACGGGCGCCCCGCTCTGCACCCTCCCCCTCACCGCTTCCCTCCCCAGCCCAACGGCTTTTCCTGAAACAGCTTTTAAAGGGCCAAGTCCCCACTCTGTGCTAGCACATATAGGACTGTAATGGCCAGGCAGGCCTGTATACTTCCACTACCAGAAAAAAAAGGAAAAAAAAAAATGGCACTAGGTTTGCAATCTGTAGAGGGTTTTGCCTATGAAGATATGTAACCCATTTAGCAATAATTCTTACAGAGGGAGTTTCCTTCTCACAGATCTACCCCCTTATGGAAGAGATCAGTCAAGACAGGTGAGTGATTTATATAGAAATTGTCACAAGCCCTTTGAAAAGCATCTGATGTCACATCCACCTTGCTGCCACTGCTTGCCCTGGGGTGAATTCTTTGGTAAAACTCCCAAGATAAGGGGACTGTCACAGCACACAGTCGGAGCCTCTCTCACAACTGGTCGCCTGCTGCTCCTTCTTTATTTTTCTTCACACAAGGAGAAAAACAAACCCAAACCCAAAGGCATATATATATTCAAGATCATCATCCTTGGCGGGAGGGCTGTGTGCGGGTTGTTTTGTCCTTGGATGAGCGACATGGGTCTGGAGCAGCTCCGGCCAATGCCCACTAGAGGGCACTCTTTCTTCACCAAGGACTGGTTCTGCCGGGAGAAATGGCTCCACAGTCCCGGGAAGTGTGGGGCGGGGAATGCCTCTGCTCAGATTCAACTTCTGCAAGCGGGGCAGGTAGACGGAAAGGGGAGGAGGGCAGACCTATAGAGAGGGTTGTCTTCAGATGTGGACAGCAGTCCAGGGGCCCAAAGCTGAGCAAAGAGAGATAGAGACAGAAATAGAGAACAAGAGAGAGAGAGAGAGAG